AATGAAACGCAGAGAAAAGGAAATCTTTGGGGTTGTGCTGTGTTCAGTCACATCAACAGTTCTGTGGCAGGGATTCTGGTTCTAACTGCCAGGCTCCTGGAAGCCGCTGAGACACCAAACCCTGTGGGAGGTGTAAGGCAGGTTCCCTGAGAAGGGAAGTGGTATCAGGTTGGGAAATTTGCACACCATCACTAAAGAGTAACTGAGGATAGACAAATCTTGCTCAAGACATAATTCAGTAAAAGGGATATTATGGTAATTTAGACAAAAGCTGGTCTCACCCTAAAGTGTTTTTATGCTTGGCCTCGGCCGCCATCATTTTTCTTTCAATGTCTGTCATTATACTAGAATGTTTATTATACTAGAATTGTGCCATATTATATAAGAATTGTGTCATAACGGATATGAGTTGAGACAAAGGATAGAGAAAGTAATACAATGCTGGCTACTTTTACTCCAAGAAGGAAATTCTAAAGAAGCAGAGTGAAGCCAGCTGCACTATATGTCACATTGATATAAGTCACCGAAATGCTGGGTTCCCAAAATTGTGTTCCTTCCTTTTCACAATCTCTCCTTGCTCACATCGGAAGTGGAGGTGAGCATGGTCCCTGGTGGACATGGGACAAGAGCAGCCAGGGGGATATCATGGGGCACAAACAGGTGCAGGAACAACTAGAACAGTAACCACATGGAAACTTGTTGCCCACGCCCACCTTTCCTCTGCCCCACCCAGGTCAGAGCTGGAATCCTTATCTCCAGTACTGACCACGGTTCCTGTCTCTGCAGGACCCTGAGGTGTCAAACTTACCCCTCAACTGACCATAAGCATGGGACAGGCATTAATGCAATGAACCTAATGAAAGCTCTTGGAGAAGGACGTTATGCAAATACTATTAATCAAAAGCTTTATTCCTTTTCTCCCAAGCCCTCCCACCTTATGCAAGAATATAAGGAAATATTAACTTTACTTCCCTAGTGATGGAGAGATGTAATTAGAGCCTGGGAAGGTTTTCCCACAAGGCATTAGTGGGGAAATTTGCCAGCACTTTGATGAAACAAAACATGGAACTCTCTATTCTGTGCCAACTGCTTCTTTCTTTGGAACACAAAGTCATTTTTATGAGTGAAACTAGAAAGAAAAAAAGAGCAAAAAAAAAAAGCAACAAGAACCAAGGGAGATAAGGTCACCCTCTCGTTTCTTCTGGCAAACCTCTCAGATTCCGGCAGACCCCTTCCCCCGAGACAGAGCAGGGCTGCACAGCTGCTCCTAACAGAGAAAAAGGAGCAAATTCAAGTAAAAACTGAAAAAAAACTCAACAATTCCTAAAATGTTTAAGAGTTACCCTCAATACACTATATGAGAGGAAATTGTATTCAAATCTTATTTGAACAAATCTCATAACAACAAATTCTCTACCTTTATGTCTTCCAAACTTTCCTAATGACTTAGTGATCAATTTATAATAATTTACTGATCACTGACAAATCCAAGCACTGAGCCCTTTTGTGATCCATTTCAAACCATAGTCAGTTTAAGTCCCTTTCTCCCTCTTCTCTTTGCTGGAATGCCTGCCTGCTGCATCAAACCCATCCTTCAGGACCCCTCTAAACTGCCTCCTCCTCCACTGCTCTGATTCTTCACCCACCCTAAGAGCTCTGGCAGAAGTCATTTGTCCCCTTTTGGGATTGTCTTTGTCTGTCTTTTCTTTTTACGATTTTTTTTTTTTTTTTTTTTTTGAGATGGAGTCTCACACTTTTGCCCAGACTGGAGTGCAATGGCGCGATCTCGGCTCATTGCAACCTCTGCCTCCTGGGTTCAAGCGATTCTCCTGCCTCAGCCTCCCGAGTAGCTGGGATTACAGGCGCCTGCCACCATGTCCAGCTAATTTTTTGTATTTTTAGTAGAGACGGGGTTTCACTGTGTTGGCCGGGCTAGTCTCAAACTCCTGACCTCGTGATCCACCCGCCTTGGTCTGTCTTTATCTTAAGGGACATATTATGTATAGCTTTATTATTCTTACTGTGTATTATCCAGTTTCCCCTCCTGCACTGCATACTCCTTGAGATGCAGATCTTGAGGACGGCATTCGGTATGCCCTAAACCCGGCATTGTTTCGATTTCTTATATGCCATTATTAGTCTAAGTGTGGCTCACAGGCTTGCAGTATACACATGATTTGGGAGATCATTAGAAATGGAGTCTCCCACCCCACCCCAGTCCTACTTAATCAGAATCTGCATTTTAATCCATTACCTACCCAGGTTATTCACAGTACATTAAAGTCTGAGAAGTGCTGTTATATACAATGGATACTTAATAGATATTTTTCACATAAGCCAATTTCTTTTTCTTTTTTTTTTTTTTTTTTTTTTGAGATGGAGTCTCACTCTGTCACCCAGGCTGGAGTGCTGTGGCCACAATCTCGACTCACTGCAAGCTCTGCCTCCTGGGTTCACGCCATTCTCCTGCCTCAGCCTCCCGAGCAGCTGGGACTAGAGGTGCCCGCCACCATGCCTGGCTAATTTTTTGTATTTTTTAGTAGAGACGGGGTTTCACCATGTTAGCCAGGATGGTCTCGATCTCCTGACCTCGTGATCTGCCTGCCTCGGCCTCCCAAAGTGCTGGGATTACAGGGGTGAGCCACCTCACCCGGCCCACATAAGCCAATTTCTATCCAAAGACCTTCCCCTTCACCCACTCCCACCCTCCATCCTAGGCACTGCAGATGAGCTGAGAACTAAGCCCACCTTCAGGTGGCAAGAGTGCTTTCTCCTCATTCACTCTAGCTTGCCATCCATAGCCTCCATGCATTCAGATGCAAGTCATTTATTAATTAATTCCCTCACAACACATTTACTGAGGGCCTGCCTCCTATATGCCAGGCATTGTGCATATTCCACAGGAACATTTACCTCTCAATGCACTGAATCGGGTTTATGGGATCAGGAAGAAGGCAAGGGGAGTGGCATGTAAATCGTGTGTCCTGTGCCTACCAGGATGCTTGTCCGCTGCCCAGATTTCTGGTGGATCAGGAAGGACACAGCCCACAGACTCAACTCCTCTTTCAGGGCTCCGCTGGCTGCTGCCCCCAAGGCCTGGCTCTCACTGGCATAAGCTCTGCACCAGTGTTTTCTCAAGCCTCAGGACACACCCCAGTCACCAGGAAGGCTTGGGAAAACACAGAATGCTGAGCCCACCCTGAAACTTCTGATGCAGTAAGTAGTGAGGTACCAACAAGAACAGAAAAAGGCAGAAACACTAAAGAAGATGCCTGTATTCTCCGAGCTTCCCTGATGAGGTGTATCCTATCAAACCCCATTCCCTTAGGTGTTGCAGAATGCTTGGAGAAAAGACTAAAGAAGCGAGGTCTCCATGTAATGAAGTCCATTGAGAGAACCAAGTCTAGAAAGTTCACCAGGTCCTGAGCAAGAGCAGGGGACAAACTAGGGCCTGATTGGCCTGCTTTTTTCACTTGCATTGTAAGATTTATGTGTTACAGTGTCATTAAATCTAGAGAGACCAGGACTCAACCCATGGTAATAAAAATAAATCTGTGCAATACTGGGGAGCTTCACAGCTAAATGTAATTACCTCTCATAGATGAAACCCAGCACGTGAGCCCTGGCCCAGAAATAGCTCATTTTCTCCCTGCCTACAGCTGTGCTTGGGCTGAAGCCGCTGACGCTGGGCTTGAGGGGTGCCTTCCCCTGCCTCCAACTTGCCTCCTCTCTCAGGCACCTCATCCTCCACCCAGTGTTATTATGAAATCAAGTGGCCTGTAGAAGGAGGACTGGGAGAATGTCAAGAATCCCTCCCCTCTCCAGTCCTTTCCCCTTCCTCCCATGCCCCATGACTTTCTAAACTCAACTGCAATGGATAGGTGGTGAGAACATGCAACAGCATTTCCTAGAACAGGATTTTCTACCTCCTTTTGGAAATCACTTATCTTATTCCCATAGTGCCCTAATTCCAACAGTATATGACATATACAATGAGAATGTCATATGAGCTAAGAAGGCTGAAGACCCATGCCTTAAGGCTAACCAGCTTCCAGAAGAATCCTTAAACCTACATTCCATTTCCATACCAATCCTGGGTGTCCTAACTTGCTCAATACCAGGAGTATCTATCAAGTTAGTAGGTGCCTAGGGGAATCTAGATGTCATTTTCAGCCCTTTCTCTTTCCCACACCCAGCAGAAATGGATGTGAGATCTCGCAATGAGCATCCAAAGTTTTCAGGATTGTTACCAGGACAACCACACCTGAAAGCTTTCCTTTGACTCAGTCTACCCTGTGCCCATTCAACCCCCACGTCAGCCCTCATCTGCTTCCAGCCCAAATTCTATTTTGGTGCCTCATTTTAATTGTTTTTTGTTTGTTTGTTTGTTTGTTTGTTTTTCTGGCCTCAGGTCAATCCCTCTATCTCTGGTCTGACGTTGCAATTTCTCCTTTTTATCTTGGGTATTTTAGGCCATGTATGTGGAAATTTGACGCATGTGACCCCCTTTGGCACAGTCGGACATTTCTCAAATTCACCTCATTTCTGATCTCTGGTTCTGGAAATTATGAAGTCAGAAAGTCCCACGAAGGCTTATGTTTACTGGCATTACAAGAGCAGATACCATGTCTGTCTTACTTTCCTATTGCCTCCCATATTACCCAGCACATAATAGGTGTCAGACAAATATTTTTTATGAACAAGTGGATTATAGATATATCACACCATGGGCAGACTAATATAATTTTTATTGTGTGAGTATGTTAAGTGTTTCTGGACAACTGATAAGGTTATATTTATAACCCAAAGGATTAATGTTCATGAAGTGCCTTGAAATCCACAAAACAATAATGCTGTAAAAGAGTCAACTATTCCCTGGTGGAGATGATCAGAGGAACAGATTGTACAATTCATTTGGGACTTAAAAGGTAGATATGAGTAAAGGTGGAAAGAAAATGGGACATGATGAGAAAACAATCAATAAACAAATTAAAACTCACCTTTATCATAATCATCATTCTCAACTGCATCTTCTTGAAGTTTCTGAAGTTTTAATCTTAAGGATATTACCTATGTTGGTATAAAGGGGAAAAAATAAAGAATTATGATAGAATTCAAGCAAACATTTTTGTGAAAACTAAGAACATTTAGAAACTGTTTCAAAATGAACTTCTTCATTCTCTTTAAAAAAATGCACATTTTTTTCAATGCCAGATGCATTAGTTTCTCCAAAAAAAGAGCTTATGTAAAGAATAAATGTAATTTGAGCATAACATCCACATAAAAAGTTAAAATGTTATTTTATTTTAAACAAAAACATCACACTGTGCCTTTATCCGCATGAAGAAATGCATAAGGAGAAGGAACACAAGTTTCCTGACCAAATGGTCTCTGTTCTAAACATCACATTAAACTTATGAAGGTAAACACACCAAAACTGGAAGAGAAACCAAGAGAAAAAGAGCATGAACTTAAGCTCAGCAGGTCATCCTGAAAGCTTGAGTAAGAATGATGGCAAAGCTCTCACAAAACCCTTCTGAGAAGCCCTAAGGTTCAAATATTTTCCATTACAGAAAAGGGCACAGTCTTATTTAACCCACATGGAGACTCAGTGATCCAGTTACTTCTCTGAGTGTTACCAATGGGTTGACTTAGCATCACTGATACGGTCTGGCTGTGTCCCCACCCAAATCTCATCTTGAACTGTAGCTCCCATAATTCCCACATGTCGTGGGAGGTCATTCAATCATGGAGTTGGGTCTTTCCCATGCTGTTCTCATGATAATGAATAAGTCTCATAGATCTGATGGTTTTATAAAAGGGAGTTCCCCTGCACAAGCTCCCTCTTGCCTGCCACCATGTAAGATGTGCCTTTCTCCTCCTTTGCCTTCCACCATGATTGTGAGGCCTCCCCAACCATATGGAACTGGGAGTCCATTAAACCTCTTTCTCTTTATAAATTACCCAGACTTGGGTATGTCTTTATTAGCAGCATGAGAACTGACCAATATAATCATTGTTCTTCTCAACAGGAGACCCAAAGATTTACTGACAATGAATCCTTGGCCTACCAATGAATGGATTTGGGCTTGCTCCCTGAAAAACATCTTCCTCCTTCTTTGCCTGGCTCACACCTACATTTTCTTCAACCCCTAGCACAAGTACTGTCTCCTCTAGTCTGTGTTAAATGTCCCTCCTCTATACCTCCATTGTGACCTGTACTTGCTTCTATTCACAGACCCATTCAACAAATATTTACTGAGTGCCTCTTAGGTATCAGGCCCTGTTTGTATTGTGTTTGTGTACCAAGGATATGTCATAAAATGCTTAGCCCTCTAGACTTACATTCTAGGCAAAAACATAATACAGTCAGCCCTTGAACAACACAGGGATTATGGGCCCCAACCCCTGCCCTACACAGTTGAAAATCTATGTAGAACTTTTGACTTCCCCAAAACTTAACTACTAATAGCTGACTGTTGACCAGACACCTTACCAAAAACATAAACAGTTGATTAACACACATTTTGTATTATATGCTGTATTCTTACAATAAAAGTAAACTGGAAAAAAGAAAATATTATTTAAAAATCATTGAGAAAAAAAAAAATTCAACATTGACTAGATGACAAAAAAATCTTAAAAAATAGAAAATAAACTTCCTATTCATTAAGTGGAAGTGGGTCATCATCAAGGTCTTCATCCTCATCATCTTCATCTTGAGTAGGCTGAGGAGGAGGAAGACGGGTTGGTCTTGCTGTCTCAGGGGTGGCAGAGGTGGAAGAGAAACTGCATATAAGTGACCCTTGCAGCTCAAATCCCTGTTGTTCCAAGGGTCAACTGTAAGTTTTATGGCACCTCAGCAAGTGACTAACGCTATGAAAAAGGAAAAGGGAGAACCATGTTATGGGGATCAGGGATGCTGGTAGAGGGTGCAATTTGAAATCTGATCTCCTTGAGATGGTGACAATTACGCAAAGATTTAAAAGCGGTAAGGTAGTGAACCATGAGGCTGTCTGGGAGAAAAACAATGCCACAGAGGGAAGAGCCAGTACAAAGGCTCAGGCAGAAGTGTTTCTGGTAAGAAAGCAAGAAGTGAAAGTGAAATGAAAAGCAAGTGGGAGCAAGAATGCCACTGGATCTGGGACAGATTGATGGAAGGGAAAACTGTAGAGAACAAGGTCACACAGGTAATGAGGACTGTATCAAGAAAAGACAAGAAGACATTTAAAAGTTATGATTTTACTCTGAAGTTCATGGGGGCCACTGGAGAGTTTGGGGCGGAAGAGCACATGATCTGACTTACATTTTAAACAGTTTCACTCTGGCTGCTGTTAGTAAGAGCAAAAGAAGGGAGGCCAGGTAAGAGGCCATGGTAACGTTCAGGAAGGAGATGACGGGAGCTTGGATGATAGTGAGGATGGTGGCAATGGCAAAGATGGTGAAATGTGATCTGATTCCGGATATATTCAAAAGATCGCTGGTTAAATATAGAGCCAACAGGATTTGCTAATACCTCACAGGTGGGGTCTGAGGAAAACGCACCAGGATGATGCCAATGTTTGTTTTGTTTTTTGTTTTCTGAGCCACTGGAAGAATGGAGTACTTATTACACCAGGCTATAGCCATCATTTTGCTTTGTTTGGTTTTATCTGTGCATATCATTCGACCTTGAGCATCTGGAGGGCAAGAACTATTTTGCATCCATGTATAAGACGCTAGTACTTACCCTTACTTGATTTTTCCACTGCTTTGGGCACATGGAAAGAGTACAAGTGCCTCTCTCCTTGTTCTGCTGAACAGGGTATGAGTGGCAATGATGGGGTTACCTCTATGCTGAAGCATTTGATCGCTCTTGTAGGACTCCCTGACATTCTCTTCCTCATGTCTGTGACTAAGGGGGTCACATGTTCAGATGGTGCAGGCTGGGTTCTTGAGTGACTCTATGGAGCAGAGCCCCCCTAAAACCTCTGTGGAACACGAAGCATACGCAAGAAACACAATTTTGTTGTGTTGAGCCTGTAATGTAGTGTCTGTTACCAGCCTATCCTAACTAACACAATCTCCAAAGCCTAGCATAAGGCATTGTACTAGTTGTCATTGATAAATGCTTTCTGAATGAATGAAAGAATGAATGAATAATCATATTAACCCCTTTGTCCTTGAATTGCTCTATATTACAACTGCAAAATTTGCCAGTAACTTAGCCCTGTGTATCAGGGAGAGAAGAAAGGCTCTGTGAATGTTTGAAGGCCACATAAAGCTATAGCATTACCATCACCACACGCAAATGATGGTATCGTTAAACATTTATTTGAACAGAAGCTGAAGAAATGCAGGAAACAGGGACAGAGAAAAAAATTCATTTACAGCCAAAGCCCACCCCACGATGCCCACCTTGTCCAGTGATCTCTATAAGGCCTTGAATGGACTGCCCTGGGATATGTCTGAATACCCATCTTTGCTGGAAGCACAGCCCCAGTGGCCATGTCTTGCACGGTACCACAACCCTGCCTGTGGAATGTCCTATAATGCCCTACAGGCACAGTCCTTCCTTTTTCACCAGTTTCCACGGCCTTAGGTGGAGCCTACCTTGCAGGGCCCACTCCACTTCCCCTCCTCTGCATGCCTGATCACCAGCTGCCTTTATTACTATCCTCTCAGTCCCACACAACCTCTGGAAATCTCGCTAAGCAGCGATTTCTAAACAGCATAAAATATACACAGTTGATTCTCCTTATTCACAGTACTGTAGTTGCGTTCTGTAAAGTTTCTGTAAATACTGAATTAGGGAATAATGAAGCATTGCTCCTAGAAGAAAATACAGGGTAGGTTCCCGTGAGCCCCTGGTCACAATACTTTCCTCAATCAATCAACACGTAACCTTGTTCTATGTGTGTTTCTGTTTAAAAACAACTTATTTAATATGTATTATTGATCCATAAACATTGTACTCTGGCCAACAGCACTCTAACTCACGCCTGAATGAAGTTTCTGGAGTACCCATATATTCTCCGTCAGGCCCATCACAGCCTTCTCGTGCTTAGGAGCATTAGATGGCATTAGTACTATGCTTGGGGGGCATTTGCAATGGTGAACTCACCAATAAAGAGCACAAAAATGTTAAAAAAGATGGCATTAAATAGACCACAAAAAGGGTACTAGTTTGCAGTATGAGAGAGAAGGTAGAATGTCATCTGGTCTGACCTTGTTTGACATAAGTAGAAAGCGTGTACATCAGGTGACCCAAATTTTTTGCCACTCTGTGCAGGTTCAAAATTACCAGCAGGCATGGTGGCTCATGACTCTGATCCCAGTACCTTGGAGGCTGAGGCAGGAGGATCATTTGAGGCCAAGAGTTCAAGACCAGTCTGGGCAACATGGTGAGACCCTCGTCTCTACCCAAAAAAAAAAAAATAGCCAGGCATGGTGGCACACGCCTGTAGTCCCAGCCACTAGGGAGGCTGAGGCAAGAAAATCGCCTGAGCTCAGGAGTTCAAGGTTACAGAGAGTTATGATGACACCACTGCACCCCAGCCTGGATGACAGAGACCCCATCTCTTAAAAAAATAAAATAAAAATGAAAAATGACCATAAAGGTGCCGTGAGTATTGATTTTGGAGTTAACAACAAATTTTAGCAAGTAGACGAATTCACACATATAGAATCCATGAATACTGAGGATCAAGCATCTTTTAGAAGAAGCTGAAACTTAAATTCCTGAGATTCCCATTTTTACTTAAGTAGAAGGGAGAGGAGGTTAAGGAATTACAATATAATATCAAAAAGGCCCCCAAACACTAGAAATCCTACTCTTTCAAAGGATCTCTTTGGAGATCCTTCACCCGACCTTCCGCCCCGTCCCGAGGGCCTCAGCCACAACCCCAGTGAGTAGTCTGGGGCCTCTGCGTAAGCACCATGGGAAAACAAGTCCCTGAGCAGCCCGCCCCATCAAGACAGTTCCCACTGTCAAGAGGTTCTTCCTCCTATTGAGGCAAACTCTGCCTTCCTGTAAGTCCTGTGCCCTGGGCTGAGTTATTTTCGTCATTCCCACTACTCAGTTAATTCCTCTCCCACACAACAGATACTCAAGTACGGCCTTGCGTTACTTAATGACAGGGATGCATTCTGAGAAAAGCATTATTAGGTGACTTCATCACAGGGTGAACATTGTAGATTGTGCTTACACAAATCTGGATGGTGTAGCCGATTTCACACCTAGGCTAGAGGGAAGAGTCTATTGCTCCTGGGCTACAAACCTGTGCAGCCTGTGACTGTACTGAATACTGCAGGCAAGTGTAACACAATGGTAAGGTATTGGTGTATCTAAACATATCTGAACGTAGAAAGGGTACAACAAAAACACTGTATGATAATCTCATAGGACCACTGTCACATCATATATGTGATCCGTCATTGACCAAAATGTCATTATGCAGTACACGAGTGTAACTGAAGATAGTGCCATGTTTTTCCCTGCCCAGGTGTGGGATTGCCATAGACAACAATACTTACACTGCAGAAAAAGTGTATCCAGATTCTACCATTTGAGAGAAGATAGGAATTTAATTTGAGCTATGGGCAGAAGGGAGAGCTTCATTAGCTTTTGACTCAAACTCTCTAAATAGGAGCTATTTCTCTAATGATGACAATGGGCAATTTCTGGGTACTTGCTAGGTGCCAGGTTCTGTCTGAAGCACTTTGCACATACGATCACATTTAGTTTAATTAACTGGAGAAGAGAAACACCGCAGGAAGGTACACCCTCTTGCAAAACCCAGGTGAAAGATAACAAGGATCTGAGTCAGGGCAGCGGCCATGGTGGTGAGAGACAGATGAGCAGTAGGACTGAGAGGGCTTGGAGGCCAGCCAGATGTGGAACGAGGGAGAGGGAGGTGTGAAAGATGGTTGTGGTTTCTGGCCTAAGAAACTGGATAGATTCTATGCATTCGAATCAACCAACATTGGAGGCCCTTCAGAACAGGTTTGGGGGAAAGACAAGGGCATTGGTTTAGGCAATGACTAACTGGAAGACTCCACACATCACCCAGAATACAAGCCTGCATCTCTGCTCTGGCCTCCATCCCTCTCTGCATAATAAATCAGAGGGCGGGGCTGAGGTCCCTGAGGGCTGAAAAAGGGCAAACAAGGACAGGGCTAGGAACATCAGACTACAGATAAAGAACGGAAGGTAGATGCTCTTTCGGGGAAAGAGCATGAGCTTCTGCAGATTCTCCTCCCAAATGCCTGATGAGTGGGTGCTCCACCTCCCTACTCACATGAACACATCCCCACACACATGCACAAACACCTGAGTGCACACACACCCACAAATACATATACTCACACACACATGCATACACACACACACATGCACACACAGCACAACCATGCACACACACATACACACACGCACACACATGCACACCTATAAGCACACACAAACACGAGTGCACACACCCACAAATACACTCACACACGCATGCACAAACACACGCACATACACACACAGCACAAACATGCACACACACATACACATGCACACACAGCACAAACATGCACATGCAAACACATACACACAAGCACACACATGCACACCTCTATGCACACACACACACACACACACAAACACACATATGTACACACACCAGGATTAAAACACAGTCTGGCAATAGATCAGCCACAGAGCATCTCTACCTGGGCTTCTCTGGGAATTTTTGTGGGTAGAGGAACTCTGCCTACTTCTGGCTATACCCACCTCTCAGATAACTGGATGGACAGCAACATCATAAGGCTGGACCTTAGATGTCTCCAGTTTGTCCTTATTTCCAAAGCAGCTACATTCTCATTTGAGCCTTAGAACAATCCTATGAGTTGGTGTTATCTCTAAATACAGAAACTGAGAGCCGGAGAGGTTCAATGACCAGAAGCGAAGTCTCCTGACCCTATGGAAGGCAGCAGTCACTGCAGCAGGATGGAAGGGAATGAGTGAAGTGGATGAAGAGCAGGATCGCCCTGATACAGGGCATCCCCATTTTTGTCTCTCTCAACCCCTTTTAAACATCACCCAGCTCAATCTCCCCTGTCCCCAGTTTCCTGTCTCAAAGCAGAGCTGAGCTGAGTTAACCACGTCTCACCTAGGCCAGGGCCTGTGGAGGAGCCTGCAGCCCAATGGAGAGCAAATCTGAGTACCTATGTGACAGAGAAGACAAAGGGGAGGGCAGATCTGTGTCCAATTCAAAGAGACAGAAGTGTAGCAACATCCTGTTCAGCCAGCTCCAAAAGGAGCTGCTGCAGCTTTTAGGAGGATAGCAGCTGAGCCCAGAACCCCTCATTTTCTGCCATCTGCCCAGTGCTAATCTGAGCTCACAACAATCTCGGGCTGCAGAGGTGGAGGAGACACTGACCTCCACCTGCCTCTGGTTTCTCAGCAGGCAGTCCCGCAGCACTGGCTCCCATTTCCTGAGCAGGGTGTCCCAAGAGTGGGCATCCCCCGATCTGCTGCTCCCATCACCACCACAGCCAGCCAATGAGGGATCCAGAGAACTGGAGGAGCCAGAGTCCACGTCCGGTAAAGAATGCATCTCACACTCTGGCCTGGAGCTGTTCCCGGCGGCCTGGGCCAAGTCTTCTGAGACCTGTGTAGCCAAGAGACTGAAGGGCCGAGAGAGACATCGAGGGTCCTTAGGAGGCCCATCCAAGCTGGCAGCTTTGGCTCCCATCTCCTGGGGGCTCTGGCAAGGGGACTCGGCCTCTCTGGATGGTGGGCAGCCTTCTGCTTCTCCACGTTCCCCGGCAGAGCCAAGCGAGAGCCGAATAAAGCTAAAGCTTGAGGCAAAGGCACCGTGAGAGCCAGGAGGGGCTGGGGGGTCCTCAGGGCCACAGCCAGGGTTGCAGCTATTGCTACTCAACTCTGCTGATGGCACAGAGCCTGCTGCCTGGACACGCCTTGCTCCATCACTGCAGGCTGCCTCCCAGCTGGCGTCCAAGGTCTCAGAACTGTCCATGGCTGCAAACTCTTGCTGCCACCCAGCATTCCCAGGGCCACACAGCCTGCTAAGCCTGTCACGCAATCTGGTGCCACCTCCGAGCTGAATCCCAAAGTGTGCTGAGGTTCCTCTCACAGAGGTCACAGCAGGGGCTGCTGAGCTCTTGGAAACAGGGCTCCCGACCAAGAGGCCTCTCAGGTCAAGGCCACACTCTCTGGTCCTGGACTCCGAGTGGTGGGACTCCTCGCCAGGCACCTCTCCTGGGACCCGGAACAGTGTGCCCACTGCTGGGGAAAGGAACCCGATCCCAGGCCCTGTCGAGCTTCTCATGTAGCCCGGCCTCCGTGCCAGCCGCCGCCTCCGAAAGCACGCTGCAGGTGGTAAGCAATCCCGGCTGCCTGGGAAAGAAAGAGAAAACAGCACTAAACATGCAGTTCTTACTGGCCCAGCTGAAACTGCATCTGGAGCACATCCCTAGGTTTAAAGGTCATCTCTCGGTACACCTGTCAAAGATAGATGCTGGCTCAGTGGTCCTGGGGCCAATCCATTATGAAAATCCCAACAATCCTCAGGAAGTGTTTGCCTGGAACATGTAGAAATCAACACAGCATCTCAGCTCCTGGGTTTAGCAGAGCAACTGGCACTGCTGTACGCTATGCCCACAGGTCAGCATGAACACAACCTTGGCGGCTCCTGAACCCTCCAACATCTTGCCTGTTGGTCTTTTATGGCACATCAGTACTCTCATCCTGGAGTGGGCCTAGAAAGCAAATGACGTGAAAGTGGGATGCCAGAGCACGCCCCTAAATGAGATCCAACCATTTACTCTAGCTATTCATTGAACAACATGTGAATGTTCACTAGCGGGGCTATCCACGTCCCTGCAAGACTGATCTGTTGCTGCAGACCATGGATAGCTGGCTGTGCCGCAATGTATGGCCATCATCTCATCTCACTCAGTGAATGACAGGAGGCCTGCTTGATGTGTTCTCCAAACCAGCGCTGTATTCCCCTCCCAGCTGGGCTATAGGAATAGGAACAATAACAAATGCTGACTCCTCATTGCCTGGTTCAAACCCTGACTATATCACTTGCTGGTTGTGTGACTTTCCACAAAGTTACTTAACCGCTCTGTGCCTCAGTTTCCCCATCAGTAAAGTGGTGATATTAACAGCTCTCTCATAAGGTGGTTGTGAGCTTTCAACTAAATGAGTTACTATTTGTAGACAGCTTAGAACAATGTCTGGCACATATGATAAGAGTTATTAAAATGTCATTTTTAGATTGCATAGCATTTTGCTACTCATAATGTGTTTTTAATTTACATTAATTTCATTCACTCTCTCACAAAACCATGTGAATCAATCAGGCCAGAAACTATAGCTTTCCTTTTATATTGAAGGCAACTGAGATTCAGAGAACTTGCCTTTCCAGAATCCCCTGCAAGTAGCCAAGTGACCAGGCCAAAGTCTCATGACTCTACTGGCCCACACAGAGCTCCCTCATCTCAGGACCCTGCCACATTGCAAATCAGGCATGAAAGTAAAACCAGGCAGCACTGGACACAGCTGTACTCATACCATGGCCTATGGCGAAAAGTGGAACAAAGCTTCACTCCAGGCCCATACATCCTGCTTTGCTTCCCAGAACAGACACGGTCTTGGACTCTTTGTCCTGTTAAGCCGAGATCAGTAGGCATTAAAGATCCCACTGAGCTACGATCATGGCACATGTCAGCTCCTAAAAGGGGTGGGGTTGGCACTGATAATCTCTGGGAAAATGAGCACAATGACCTCCAGCCCTCTATTTCCTGACTTGAGCATCTGAAGATAACAGAGCCCAAGACTTGCTCACACAGCGACTTGCTCTTGCCAACTGCGGGAAGCCCCAGAAGGGCCAATGCTGCCCGGGGCACACAGAATTCCGGAAGCTTGCAGGGAAAGGAGGAAAGGAATCAGGGACCATGAGGTGGTGGTGGAGGAAGTCAGAGTAAAGAAAGGAAGGGAGGCATTTAACACTATAACTCTAGGAGATCGGTACTATTCCCATTTTACAAATAATACAGCTAAAGCTCAGAAAGCCTTACTTTGCCCCAGAACTCCCGGATCATGGTTTCCCAAAGCCCGGACTTGAACTGAGGCTTGTCTGGTTCCACAGTACACGCCCTTTCAATTCCCTTTGCCTCCAAGTATATCAGTTAGGGCGACAGCGTAAAATGACAGGAAGGCAAAAGAAACATTTCATTTTTTTCTTTCTTTCTTCAAGACAGAGGACATGCGAGTCGAAGCCAGTAGAAAAGGAAGTGATGAGAGGTACAGAAGGAATCCTTCATCATCCGAGGGCATGAGGCTCCCTGCAGTGTCCAGACCCGACCGGCAGGGGGAGCAGTCGGAACAGGGCGGCCGGGCGTTGGGAGGGGGCAGAGAGAGACCCTCAGGGACACTCGCTCATAACCCCTGCAAAGCGGGCAAAACGTTCTCCAGAGGGCAAAGAGTCTGAAAGTACGTTAGAGAAAACATTGAATTCGGGCTTCAATTACCAAAGGAAAACAATCCAACAATTTCGTACCTTGAAAAATGAGTCTAGGTGAAACCTATATTGTCTGTAGTTTAAAAAGACTTTTAACTATTTTTTTATGTAAGTACCAGTCATCCAGATAACCCTTCTGAAGTTAAAAGAAAAAGGCTAAGTAGAAAATTATTTGTTTGAAATTTCATTTCTTTTCAAAGGCCTGAGGGCACTTCAGTCTAAGTAGCCTTTTCTTTTTCTCTTTTTTCTTTTTTTTTTCTTTTTGAGACAGTCTCACTCTTGTTGCCCAGGCTGGAGTGCAGTGGCATGATCTCGGCTCACTGCTCCCAGGTTCAAGTGATTCTCCTGCCTCAGCCTCCCAAGTAGCTGGAATTGCGGGTGCCCGCCACCACGCCCAGCTAATTTTTGTATTTTTAGTAGAGAGGGGGTTTCACCATATTGGCCAGGCTGGTCTTGAACTCCTGATCTCAGGTGGTCCACCTGCCTAGGCCTCCCAAAGTGCTGGGATTACAGTTGTGAGCCACCGCCACCGCGCCCAGCCCCTGAGTAACCTTTTCTAAAACCACTCAACCAAAGGTCCTGAAGTCCTGAAAGCCAGGTTCCAGCTGCAGCACAGTGAGGTTACCCAATGCAAACCCTTGTTTCTACTGGGGCCCTGGGAAGCTGTGATGAGCTGGGGACCAGGAGCAACAAGCACAGGAGGGCAAACATAAGAGAGGTGTTTACCAAACGTGGGAATGAGATACGGGGATCACCTGGCTTCTGCACCCTGCTGAGGGCTCATGCAAACCATCCCCTGGCCATTGGCCTTCCCAGAAGGTGACCCGAATAGCAAAGACTGTCACATACTATGAATCCTAACCCTGAGGGGACAGAGGTCAGATCTGGAGGGCACTGCTGGAATCTGCTAGAAGAATTCCAGGAAACCCATATAAGGCAGGAATGAAATCTGTAGGAAAAACTCCCAGTTTCCCATAACGAAAGGCCATTTATTCTCACTCTTTTGTCCTCTTTTTTTACTTTTATTTTTTGAGGAAATTTATGACATCCCATGACCAAAATCAATTCTCACTTACATATCCAAGTCTTGCCATCACACCTTGCAGTTCAATAAGGATTAGGATGTATTCAGATCTTGGAGATAAATACTCCTTCCTAGCACCTAAGTGCAATCCGCTCTGGCAGGAGGTTCAAGAGGGCAGGAAGCAACGTATGGCAAGGTGAAGAAAAAGCACAAAGTGCAGGCAGGTTTTGAGAGCCAGTTAGGAAACAAGCTGTACCCTCTGTGATCTGCGAAACCCAGAGATGCCTCATTCCACCCATCTAGCCCAGGAACGAACGACTGAGCAGGGAAAGGGAGCCTGGCACAGCTTTCTCTGCTCCTCAAGGCCTCTTGTCCTGCAATAGATCAATTCTAAAGGGAAGTGCTCATGCCTTACTTCCTCTCTGAAGCACAGCCCTGCTTGCCCTGGTAATCTATGACCCCTATCTCCACCTTATCCAACCCAACAAGCTCTGATTGGAGGGAAATGAAAGACAGCAGCTTAGAACAGACCCAGATGTCAATGGGTCTCTATATACAGTCTAAATAGGATGCCTGGAAATTTATGTTGACCTAGCTTAGAAGGAAAATTGGGGCAAGCCAATATTAACCAGCTGGATCGGCAAGAATCCTGCCAGCCCTCCCTCTATGCTCTCCCTTCATCTATCCAAATCCTTCCCAGCCTTCAGCTTCCAATCCCTTCCCCATCAGCTCCCTTCTCCTGATTGCCCAGTTAACAGGGCTTCACCAATTGTCCATATCACTCATTCCCTCCATCACTCATTCCCTCCATCACTCATTCCCCACTACGTATTGTTAACACCCGGCACTGTTAGTGATTTTCTGTGGTGGATATGAATTGTTTCCAGTTTATACTACACAGAAGTTTCCTGAGGTCCTTATAATTCCTAAAACAATCCTAGTTTACAGTATATCAGAGAATAAATTAAAATACACATTGGTCAGACAATATTCATTTTTAAATATGAAATCTTAAACATGCAGTTTAAGAAAACATGATACTTAGTTTTTGTCCTGGAGCAGTGGCTCATGCCTGTAATCCCAGCACTTTGGGAGGCTGAGGTGGGTGGATCACTTGAGGTCAGGAGTTCGAGACCAGCATGGGCAACATGGCAAGGCCCCATCTCTACTAAAAATACAAAAATTAGCCTGGTGTGGCGGTGAATGCCTGTAATTCCAGCTACTCAGGAGGCTGAGGCAGGAGAATCACTGGAACCTGGGAGACAGAGGTTGCAGTGAGCCAAGCCCGCACCACTGCACTCCAGCCTGGGTGACAGAGCAAGACTCTTGTCTCAAAAAACAAAAAAAAACAAAAACAAAAATGACTCATAGGCTTGGGCAGGTCACTTGGCTGCCCTGTACCCCAATGATTCTAAGGTCTCCTGAAGGAAAAATGCTGGGACCTCGAGGTTGCTACAGGGAATGCACCAAATAGCAAGAGAAGAACACGACTTTACAAAACATGATTTGCATATAAATTTAGAGTGGAAGCATAAAGGAATATATTCTTTTCAGGGAAGGAATTTTAATCCCATCTGTCACGGTTGGGGTAAAAGATCTTAATACATTCAGGCTAACCAAATATTCAGAACCATAAAGAAACAATATATCTCTCTGGATTAATTTGTTTCCAAAGAATCAGAATCCAGTAATAGGCACTAAGCACAAACACTCTACTGAGCCGAAGTCCATCTTCCTTCGATAATTCAGAGAGCACTTAAGGCTTCTGAAGTGCCTTCAGGTCACTGTAATAAGCACCCAGTGAGCAAGGCAAGCGGGGGGTGGAATAAATCAACCTGTATTGTA